GGGTTTGCAAAAGCTTCAGTGCTAGAAACTAGAAACTGTAATTCTAGCTTTTAGCCAGCCACTATTTCTATTTAGAATTAATTAAAAGGAATCATTAGATACATTTGCAGGGGAAAACAAATTAATCTTCCAATACACTCCAAATATATAAACTCTTGAGTATGATTGGAGACTTGATTAGAAGCCCCCATGCATAAATTTTTGGCCTTCCATAATTACATGTTTAGCATCCAAGTTACAAGCATTTTATGTGGAAAATGGACTTAAAAGCTAGCTGTTATGTACATAAAACAGCCTTAAAAGGCAGTTGTTATGTATGTAGAAGAAAATTCGTGAAATCTTTTTCTTGGTATAGCTAAGGGATGCACTTCTACTTTTCATGATTGGTGCCATAACCCATGAGATTGTGCTAGAGTAGTGAATGAATACATGGAAGCTGTGAAGAAAGCAAGACAAGTACGGGATCAAGTAACATGACTTGGCTTTGATATGTGTTTTGTATATAGGGAGAATTCTGAGGCATATTCATGATTGGTTTGACTACGCTTTGTATTCCTATTTAATATGAATGTCATTTTGTTGGCTAATTAAAAAAAAAAAAAAATTGCTCTTGGATCAAGTCTTGGTTGAACTAGTTTACTTGTTATTGAAAACTAGTGAATCTAAACATCATTTCTTTTCTTTTTGAGTGTATCTTTGCGGCCTCTTCCTTTTTTTTTTTTTATTTCTTTTTATCTATACTTTTTTATTTTTTGGTATATTGAAAGATGGGCATGTATAAATCACAAGATACAGAGTCTTCCTTGTTTATCCTAAGATTTAAACTTTAAATTTCCAACCTAACATATCAAGCTCTTAATTAACTAGTGGGATTTCTTCTAAGGATGTATTTAAGGTTCTCTGATGCTATGAAGTACAGAATATTCTTGTTAATTTTTGAGAAACAATTTCTAGCTGCAATATGTGCACTCCCTTTATTTAATTTAGACCTATTTTTGGCCTAAAACAAAATTTTATATAGTAAAAGTACACTATTCACCCCAGATTTATTCCTTACCAAAACCTTTGTCGCTATTCATAATCAATTGATTTATTATTGGTAGTGACTGACAAATTGTTTTTAAAGGACTATCCTTGGGTTTTTACTATGTTCAATCTCCTTATATATATTTGGAAATACCATGTTGATTTTCATGTTTTTGATAAATCTTTTCCTTGTGCTATTTACCTAATACTCTATTTTGACTTGTCTTCTTATGAATGGACTACATTTTATTTTTTACAGTAATTAATTACCTCCTTAAAGTCGTCCAACACTAAGTGGCCTAGTGGCCATACCCCTTTGATAGGGAGGTGTTAAAACATTAAGTCTTGGGTTCTACACTTAGGAACTGCTAATTCCCCCATCCCCAAAAATTCTCTAAGTTCAAGAAAAAAGAATTACCTCCTTAAAGTCAAAAATCTGCTAAGGATATATATTTTGTAGTTTGTTTAATTATCTATGAAAAAACAACTATTAAAAGTGAGATTTGAATTCAACTGTATATCTTAGTTCACTGTTTGGGAAAGTAAATTTGATTTTTCATGTCTTGAAAATGGACCTTGATTGGTGCACACCCGGATCCAACACCCGGGTGTGCACCCCCACATAAAAAAAAAAATTTGAACTGGGTGGTGATGGGCTTTTTTTTTTTTCAATGGGGAGTGTGCACACCCGGGTGTTGACCCGGATGTGCACAAATCATTTTCCCTTGAAAATACAAGCATTAATTAGAAACAAATTGTTTGGCTGAAATGTAATTGATTGTCACCATTTTGAAATCCATGTGTTTATTTCGTATAGGTTAGGAATACGCATGTATATTATTAAGTATTCAAGTTTTACATGGATCTAATATTTATGAGATCAACAATGTATTTTTTTTTTCACTAATCTACTCTTTTTTTCTTTTTTTCTTTTTTTATTTTTCACAAAGCCAAACAAATGTACAAAAAAATGAAGACTTAAATTCAAATGCACAGTCAAATTTATAATTCACAAGCCAATTATCATCCAAATTATAGATTTAAAAGGATGCTAGAAGATGTTGAAGCTGCGTGTCAAATTTTTCCAAGGCAGATCAATGCCCTATAAATATGTCAAGGCCTCCTTTGTAAAACAAGTTAAAAAGGACGAAAAAAAAAAAAAAAGAAAGAAAAGAAAAGAAAAGGAAAATAAGAAAAAAACTCATTTTCCTGTACTACATTCACATTAAATGCCTGTAATCCATTGTTTTTATGTTTCAGATATGTAGTCTAAATCTAAGTACTGATCAGGATTAGTCGGGGCGAAGCCTTGGATATCGGGTGGGAAACCCAAAAAAGATATGTAGTCTAAGTTATAACTTGTCTGAGTTGACCATTCTGGGAACTTGGATGCATCTTCACTCTTGGCATTCATCTTTTAGGCTTAGATGGTGGGTTGGGGCAAGTATATAATGTTGTGTGTTCTCCTGGCATACATCACTGGTGTTCTTTTCCATAACTTCGTGCTAAGGAAATTTGAAGTAAACACTGGAAGCCTTACTGAATTAGCTGAGCTCTTACTCTTAAATATTAGTAAAGCTGAACTTTGAGAGTATGTGATTCTATATAGACAGCTTGTGGTTGTAAGTTTAAGGGTGGAGCAGCCCTTGTACTCCTAGTAATGATATTTTTTATCAATCCAAAGAAAGTATGTAATTTTGTGATTCTGGTCTTTAGTAAGTAGGAGATGGTCTGGAACTTATGTAGTTTTAAGTGCTTGCGCACTTTTTAATTAATGAGATTGTTAGCCATCCGCTGATAGGATATATTTGCTTTCCTTTCAGTTTTATTCATTCATTCCTAAGAAACTGGTAACATGGATTGATGACTTTTTTTTTAATGTGAAATGCTTCAGCATGCAAAACGCCATTGAACGATACTCTATGCATACAAAAGAAATTCCAACTCACAAGCCTGAAATGGAACAACATATGAAGGTTAGTCCTCTATCTTTCATTGTACAGATTAATTTTCCATGTATTTTCTTTCCGAGAAAAGCGCAGTTTAAAATTTGTTTGTTTGGCAGTAGATGTAAGCGTAGATGATATTATATATAACATAATTCTATTTGGAATGGAAAGATATATTACTTAGTTTGCAGTTGATTAGAATGAAAATTAGCTTGGTTGCCAATCTGCTCCTTTTATTGTTTATATCATGGTTTTGACTCTAAATCCATGATTTAGGAAGTGAAGAGTTTCAAAGCTCGGACAAGTGCTTGTTCTAGACTCCCAGGGGAAATGCAAAACATTGTTTGTTTGTTTGTTTTTGGTTTTAATTTTATTTATTTATTTAGCAGTTAAGGTGTCCCCGTTTTAACTTGTGTGCATCTAAAAACGAATCTCTTTTTAGTCTGATCAAATGCAGATCACCATCGCTGTGAATAAGAAATTTAAGAAAAATTACTTCTTCACTAACCTCTAAATCATTCTAAGCATTAATCAAATCCATGCATTCTTTTGTTTTAACTAGCTTTTATGGCTTGATTCTTTCATACGTTTAGTTGATTTATCTATATATAGGCTTTGTTTGATAATGTTTCGCACATAACTTTTTTTCACACAACACTTTATCTAAAAATGTTAATTTATAAATCTTAATTAATTTTATTTTTTATATAATTTTATTAATTTATTAATATTTTATATATTTTTGAGA